GTAAATAGCCCCACGAGAAGGCAGCATCTCGCGGGGCAGGCCCAGGACAAATGAGTTTGTGGCCGAGCACTTAAGAGAGAATGTGCATCAGAGAAGCATGCGTTACAACAGAACAGACAATGGTGTATTTCACCTTTCGGTTCCTTTTGACTCATGAGTTATTTAGAATATTTTTAAACACTTTCACACTAATAGAGTTTCTTTGATGAGGTGATCTTGTCATCAGTTTATAGTTCTTCTTCTGCTTGAGCAGATAATGAAAGCTGTAGAATTCTTTTTCTATCATTAGGTTGAAAAGAAAGGTAACTTCTCTCCAGGACATTATGAGTGTGATGTGTTGGTATTGCCCCCAAAGGGAAATGGTGTGGAGAATGTTTGGACCGCAGCCTGGGATGAAAGGCTGGGAATGGTGAGTTGGGAGTGGCTCCAAGAAGAGGGGACAGAAAGCATCGACAGGGTGGGGGTAGCATTGAGTGTGTCCCCACAGGTAGAGACAGATGGCAGAGGCCGGTATGCCTCAGCCAGCCTTCTGTGGCCCCAGCAAGACCCAGAGAAAGAAAGCTACACCCAAAGCAAGGAGGATCGAGGCGGGAGTGAAGTAGGAAGATCAGCCGCTCCAGGACGCTTTGGGAATAATATTGCACAGCACAGAGCTGCAGCCCAGAAGGTTTGGAAGATGGGGGTTGCTGGACTCAGAATATTATTTGCTCTGTTTTTGCAACAACGATTTTTTCTCCAGATACAGTGAATGCTGGCTTCTTAGTGGTAAATTGATACCGCTGTAGCTCTCGGGCACCCATCTGCCATACGTTTCAGGAAAGTAATTTACTTGGCTTTCGAGACTGTTGTAGAAGGACTTCCTTCACTATCATTTGCCTTTAGACCAGACTGGATGATCTGAAGGACATTCTCAATTTTAGGAAATGACAGAAGTTTTCAGTGTTAGAGGACAAGATTTAAAGAGCTAATTTATTTCAGGGCTCTGTGTCCAGGCAGGTACCAATCAAATGGGCAGGTCTTTGACTCTAAGGATACCATTACTTCCCGGCGGCCTGCAACCGCAGGAAGTTCTGTCTCTATTCCGATTTTATCTCTTACCTCTATTAGGCTGAGTGGGGAGGTGGAGAAAAGAGCAACTTGGTGTCTTTGTGACAGCTCATGGTGCTCAAGGTCCAGCCTCCTCTCCATGAGCAACATCCTGCCTTCTCCAATCTATTTGGCTTTTTTCCCCACAGCTATTTAATTGTATGTTACTTTTCACCAACCCTCTTCAGTTTCACTATATTCTTTGTGAACTGTGGACTCAGTAATGATACCGATAAATTAAATGGGATGAAGTTTTCGTGATGCAGTAATTTCGTGGCTAACTAGGTTCATGACCCGTTTTCTCATGGGAGTGGTACAAAATCAACCCTACAGGGTTACTGAGATGTCAGAACGTGCAGCATAATCCTTGCTGGTAGCTGGAATTGAGCAAAAACAGTTCAAGATCCTATGGTTCCAGAGCAGGGACTCAGCTTCTTTTACACCAACTGCCCTTGGTCTCCAGTGGGCCACAGCAGGCCTCTCCAGAGAGGAGGCATCCGAGCAACTGGGCTGTGAATAGCCTCCCTCAAGCCATTCTGCAGGCCCTCCCTCCTTAGGGCTAAGCCTTTTCTCTGTTAGCAATATCCTGCCTCCCCCAGTCTATCTGGCTTTGGTGTTTGGAACATTGTTTCTGGTATTGGGGAGGAGTGGGGGAAGGGACGTCTGTGCTGCCCCTCCTGGAGAGGTCTGGGGAGAAAGCAGATGTTTTGGAAAAATAATCTAGTGTCCCACTCCCAAACAAACAAATAATGAACTGAGGCCAGAGTGGCAGGTGGCTGGAGTCACAGTGACAGGGAGCAGCATCAGGTGGCATGTGGCTGGAGAAGGGGCTTTGCCCGAGCATGAGTGCCCACCACAGCACTGTGGCTGAACCCAATGCCCACTGCAAGGTAGGGGATTGACCTGGACAGGAGCGGGGCCACCAGGGAAGGTGCTTCAGATGCTAGAAAATCAGGAACCTAGCTTTGTAGGCCTAGATTATCAGGCCAGGGAGATGTGGTTTATTGGGCAGAGGCGTCCAGGATGGCTTCAGTGGGGAGAGGGGAGGTGGAGATGAGCGGGAGTAGTCAAGGCTGTGATTGGCAGGTGAAACTGGAGAGCACTGGCAGAGGGGAGAGAGAGGAACTGGGAAGTGGAGGGCGCTGAGCAGAAGAATGAATCACGCTTTGTGACGGAGTGGCCCCCAAACTGTACCGTGAGCTCAAAACATAATGGCATTGTGGTCAGAAATTTGCAATTCGCCGAAAGAAGAAGGTAGGGGTAGAAGCATGAAATGATGGTGAGAGCTCTAGGGGGAATGGTCCACTCCTTCTGAGAATGGCCAGTGTCCTCTGGCTGTAAAGTGACCCAGGAACATGGCACGCCCACCGGGTTCAAGTGTTGGGTACAGAAGGCAAGAGAGAGGTTTCAGGGGCATTTGGAAGGAGAGTTAGTGAGACAGCCCCAGAGAGACACGGGAGACATTGGTCAAGGATTTGCCTAGGGCTGAAGCTGGACTGCAAGTCAAGGAGCCTGGGTGGCATGGCCATGAGAGGGGACCCGGGAGGTGGGAAATGGCTGTAACTGCTGTCCGTCGCTGTTGACTGTGTTTGGAGGATTTGTGTGCATTACAGAAAAAATAATTTGCAATGCTTGGGAGCAGAGCCCTGTGGGCTCTCTTTGGTTCGTGTTTCTGTTGCTTTGTAGCCAGAATTTTTAAGATTTTTTTAAATCTTGAGATGGAGTCTTTGTCACCCAGGCTGGAGTGCAATGGCATGATCTCGGCTCACTACAACCTCCACCTCCCAGGTTGAAGCCATTCTCCTACCTCAGCCTCCTGAGTAGCTGGGATTACAGGCGCCCATCACCGAATGCGGCTAATTTTTGTATTTTTCGTAGAGGCAGGGTTTCACCATGTTGACCAAGCTGGTTTAGAACTCCTGACCTCAAGTGATCTGCCTGCCTTGGCCTCCCAAAGTGTTGGGATTACAGGTGTGAGCCACTGCGCCCTGCATAGCCAGATGTTTTCGAGACTGCACTGGCTGGTGCTGCGTGTGATAGAGGCTGCTGTGTCTGAGAGGTGGCCCTGCCCCTTGAGGAGGTGGTTGAGGGTGAAACGCAGTCTGTGCCCAAGGGGACCTTGTGGGTCTGCCAGCAGCTTGCTCTCCTCCCGGGTCTGGCCAGTGCTTTTGGAGTCCAGGGGACATGCAGCCAAGTCCTTCGAGCCAGTGCCCTGGCTGCCTGGCCTGTGGCCACAGTGGCAAGCGTGAGCGATTTGTCTTCACAGGAGACCTGATCTGCAAACACTTTCCTTGTAATTCGGCCTCCTCACTTGTTGCCCTGTTGAAGAGCGAGCCTTAGCCTCTTGTTCCTCCTGGTTGGACACGGGGGTGAGGGAGAGGAAAGGGTCTCCAGGATTTGGGCTTCAGTGACCGGGAGGAAGGGGTGCTCTTGTGGAGAGCAGAGGTTGCCAGAGGAAGTGTGGGGCTCTGAGGCAGAGGCCACAGCTGCTTTTTTGGACATGTTGGGTTGGACAGATGCCAGGGGCGGAGGCTGTGAATGGCGTGATGCTGTGGCCATGGCAGAGTCATGGGCTGAGAATCACCTGCGCAGACACCAGTGGATGGCACTTGAGGAGCCCCAGGACAGCCCCCACAGAGCCCTGGGGAGAGGAGCCAAAGGGCTCAGGAGACACAGGTCTTGGGGAAGCAGGAGGAGGTGGGGAGAGGGAGGAGGCAGGGAGGGAGACTGTGGAGGAGAGCAACCTCCCAGGAAGTGGGAAGAGCCGCAGGGGAGCAAGGAGCTGCAGGAGCCGGTGTGGGAGGGATCCTCAGCCCTCAGCAGGTGATGGGGATCACTGACTGCGGGGCAACCTTGGGAGAAGAGTTTCCTTGCAATTGTGGGGCTGAAGCCAGATAGATGGTAGTGGGTGGGAAGTGACTGTGTATCCATGAGCCATTGACCCTTCCTGGATACCAGGAAGCCAGAAATGTGGAGATCAGAGCCAGTGTCATCCTTGGGATGCCTGGACTTGGGAGGCCGCCCAGGAGACAGGCAGGCCAAGAGCTGGACACAGGGCTGAACAGTGGTTCTTCTAAGGGACAGAAGTCACAGCGTATTCATGTGATCGGGACAGTAGAGAGGAGCCAGAAGAGAGGGAGTGACTTCTGGTGGGACCCCAGGCAAGGTCAAGGGCAGGACTTGGCCTGGGAAAGGAGTGGGCCGCTTGAAGTCAGGGCCTAGAAAGTTCCGGAGCCTTGTCAGAAGATACTACATATTGCGGGTGAGGTGGGAAGCTGTGATGAGTGACAGGGAGGTGCTTGTAGGGGCTGGAGGGGGCAGAGAGGCGTGCGTCAGGGGAGCCAAGTGTGTAGAGGGGAGAAGGACCCTGCAGGGCCCGCCGTGCCCAGGATCCACGCAGCCATCGAAGGTGGCTGGGTGGCCCATGGGTGGTGCTGCCTTTGCCTTTTCCCCAAATCGTGCTCTTATTTATTTATTTATTTATTTAGAGATGGAGTCTCATTCTGTCTCTCCCTTGCTGGAGTGCAGTGATATGATCTTGGCTTACTGTAACCTCCACCTCCCGGGTTCAAGTGACTCTCGTGCCTCAGCCGCCTGAGTAGCTGGGATTACAGGTGTGCACCTAGCACAGCCAGATCACGTCGAGGACCAGCAGTGGGATGTTTCAGAAAGCCGCCCACTCTTGGGCCACCTAATGCAGTACACAAAGTGACCCCTCCGTCATAGTGCCCGGAGAGACCATCGTGCCTCTCAGAGTGGCTGCAGGCTGTGGAAATGCCACTCATGGCGGCCCCGCCCCTGTGTGTATGCTGTGTTCCACACCTCCTTCTCCAGGTCGAAACGGTTCACGGTGTTTTGATTGTCTATGAAAGGTTTTGGAAGTGTCTCACCTTCCTGTACCTTTTGTCCTTCCAGGTGCTGCTGTCGGGACTCATAGGCGTCGTCTCCTGGAAGAGGCCTCTCTCCCTCGTGGTAAGTGGCACCTGTGTCTCCAGATGGCCCTGGAGCAGGTTTCTACCTTCAGGGGTGTAAGCAGGTTAGAGGCAATGGCGAAGAGAATTCCAGCTTCTTTGCAGGCAGCGGGAAGCAGAGCTTGATAAAATCTCACCGCTGAAAGCTGATGGCTCTTGAGTGAGAAGCGCTGTTTCTCATGGGAGGTGCTTCTGAGAGTGCTCCCCGGTGTCTCCCTGAGGTGCTCCGAGGACATCCTCTTTGCGTTTGTTTTGTTTTGGTGCCCTCCTGTAAGGACGGAGTGTGACGTGAACAAGGGCACTTTAAAAGTGTGAATGTGGCTGGGTGCGGTGGCTCACGCCTGTAATCCCAGGGCTCTGGGAGACCGAGGCGGGCAGATCATGAGATCAGGAAATTGAGACCAGCCTGGCCAACATGGTGAAACCGCGTCCCTACTAAAAAATACAAAAAAATTAGCCGGGCGTGGTGGCGGGCGCAAGGCAGAGGTTGCAGTGAGCCGAGATTGTGCCACTACACTCCAGCCTGGTAACAGAGTGAGACTCCGTCTCAAAAAAAAAAAGCATTTCTTGTAGACATTAAGGCCTCTTTATGCACATAGGCATGCACATGTGTGGTTCCACAAACAGAACGTATTTTATCAGAGTTCAAGAAGTGTTAGGTTTTTGTGTGTTTGAGGGATCCTAAAATTCTGACAGTAAAATAAAGGGAGTTATTTGAATTGCCTTGGCATTGTGCTGAGGAGCGGGCCACATGGGAGATGGAGAGAGAGGATGATGGTTTTTCCCTCGGAAAAATACCCTGAACAGATTTGTGTCTATTGATTTGTATGCTTGTTCTTCTCAGTGTATCATTAATATATGTATGTGTCTGTGTCAGGGCTGGAAGAAGTTTTCTGGGTTTTGATAGGTAATGAAAAAGACAGCGTGGCATTTTTCTTCCTTTACATTAATCAATTATTTGAAATCTCTTCTTTAAGTGATTAGACTTGAAGATAATGACATGTACTACATATTAATGGGAATAGAAACAAAAAGCAAATTTGTCTGTTGAAAACACCTCTTCCGTCCTGAAGGTCACTGTAACCCCTGAAATGGTATCAGGGAAGACAGGAGTGGCCTTCAGTCCTCTGAGGCTCCTCTTCCGCTGTATCTTGGCCCATAGAAGACATTTCCTTTCAGAAAAATGTTTTTAGTTAGAAACTTTCAAACATACATGAAAGTGAAGAGACTGCTCTAGTGAACCCCTGCGTACCCCTCATCTGGCTTCAACAGATGTCAGCATCTGGCCTCTCTTATTTTGTCATTATTTCCCCACCCCGCACCTCCACCCAGCCTCTTGCTGGATTATTTTGAAGCTGGCTCTTGGTGCAGAGGGGAAATGCAGTGAACAGGCTGACTGCAGGGTTGACATCCTCGGGGTGTGCAGTGTGGCGACTGCGCTGCCTTCAGTGACACGGGGACAGCTGCCTCATCCCTCCGCACCCACCTTCATGGTGCAGACAGATTAAGCTCTCCAAACAAAGGAAAAGCCGCCTTCTGCAGAGTGGGTGTGTGGACAGAAAGACAAGAGAGGAGTGACGTCCATCACCCAGTCTTCCCCGCACGCCACCCCCGGCCCTGGCCCCAGCGTGAGGAATCTCACGGGGCTCGGCATTTTGCCACGCAGGATGCATGAGCTTGGAGCTGAAGAGGAGTTATGACTCCTTGTGGAGGTGGCTCAGGGATATCCCAGGGAAGCCAGGGGAGCAGGCCGGGGTCTCAGGGCTCATCCCAGTAGGAGGACACAGCAGCAGGTGGACCTTCAGGAGCAGAGTGTTGAGGTTCCTTGCTCCCCAGCCCTGCGGCAGTAGTTGGAGCAGGGCCAGCCTCCTCTCTGGGAGGTGGTCAGGGCTGACCTCCCATGGACTTAATTTCCTCCCAAACCCCAGGCAAAGGAGAAGGGGTTCATCGAGCTGGACTGACTTCCTTGGCTTATGTAGGGAGGTTGGGACTTCATTAGGGTGACATTAACTCCTGCAGCAACCCCCTGACTTTCAGTGGCTCAGTTCAGGGCAAGGCTGCTCTGGCCCCTGTCCAGGGCAGGCTCAGCCGGTGATTGCATCCTTCACAGAGGGACTCAAGGACCTGGTTCCTTTCACCTGAGGGCCCTAGTGTTTCCTAGGCCTGTGGGATCCACTGCAAGTCAGTGGAAGGGAATAGAGAACAGAAGAGGAACCCTGACAGCTGAATTTTCTTCACCTGAAAGTGACATTCATGGCTTGCTTTTCAAACCATTCAGGAGAGCTTGTCATGAGGCCCCATCTAGGTAGCAGTGGCAGGCACTGGCTCTCTGGACAGGCGCTTCCTGGAGGCAGCTCCACACTGTAGATGGGAGTTTGCTGGGTGGTTTTTCATCTGTACCATAAGAATGTTCTTCCATTGCACTGACCACAACAGTGCAGTCTTTTGATTGATTAGCAAAACTCGCTCTCTGTATCGTGACCATCGAGATAGCCTTGGCTTTGGCTTTAGGAGGAGAAAAGGCATTCACAACAGATGGGAGGAAAATCTGTAAAGATCTATTAGGGTGTGCTAGAAAAACATAACCAGTAGGAGATATACAGATTAGATACAGATAGATATGCACATGCAGACACACAGGAATATACACATATCTAGAGTATAACTTATATATATGTGTGTATGTAGATTTATTTATTTTAAAGAATTGGCTCACACAGCTGTGGGAATGAAGAATTGAAAAGTCTGCAGTGCTGGCCCGCAGGCTGGGGATGGGGGTGGAGCTGAAACTGCAGCATGAGCCTGACGGGAGGCGGCAGGTGGAGCTCCTCCTTCCTGGAGGAGGTCGGCCCTTTTCTCTTGCTTCTTTCCACTGACTGCCTGCAGCCCACCTACATTATGGAGGGTGACCTGCTTTGTTCAGGGTCTACTGGCTTAAAATTTAATCTCACCTATGAAAATACTCTCTGTCCAGTCTATCATCGATGGGCATTTGGGTTGGTTCCAGGTCTTTGCTATTGTAAACAGTGCTGCAGTGAACATTCGTGTGCACGTGTCCTTATAGTAAAATAATTTATAGTCCTTTGGATATATACCCAGTAATGGGATTGCTGGGTCAAATGGAATTTCTATTTCTAGGTCCTTGAGGAATCGCCACACTGTCTTCCACAATGGTTGAACTAATTTACACTCCCACCAACAGTGCAAAAGTGTTCCTATTTCTCCACATCCTCTCCTGCATCTGTTGTCTCCAGATTTTTTAATGATCGCCATTCTAACTGGCGTGAGATGGTATCTCAATGTTGTTTTGATTTGCATTTCTCTGATGACCAGTGATGATGAGCATTTTTTCATATTATGCAGCCATCAAAAACAATGAGTTTGTGTCCTTTGTAGGGACATGGATGAACCTGAAAACCATCATTCTCAGCAAACTGACAGAAGAGCAGAAGATCAAACACCACATGTTCTCACTCATAGGCGGGTGTTGAACGATGAGAATACATGGACACAGGGAGGGGAGCACTACACACTGGGGTCAGTTGGGGGGAAATAGGGGAGGGACAGTGGGGGGTAGGGAGCTGGGGAGAGATAGCAAGGGGAGAGATGCCAGATGTAGGTGATGGGGAGGAAGACAGCAAATCACACTGCCACGTGTGTACCTATGCAGCAATCTTGCATGTTCTTCACATATACCCCAAAACCTAAAATGCAATAAAATAAATGGGGAAAAAATCATGGAAGAACAACAACAACAACAAAATACTCTCACAGCGACATCCAGACTAGTGTCTGACCACATATCTGGGTACTGTGGTGTAGCTGAATTGACACACAGCAGGAATCATCACCACAGAGTTTTGAAAACTTGCCAAAGATGTTCTTTCCAGAATCATACCAAAGAAAATGCTGTAAACAACGGCGGTAATGGTTCACTGGGTGGGACCTGTGTGTTCTCATCCTCACATCAGTGAGACGTTGGCCACCACCTGCGGAGGTCTGGCCTGCAGACCCTGACTCAGTGACGGATGAATAACATACTCTCACACGATTACAGCGATTCGGGTGGGCCAGGGGTGTCAGCGGCTGCTTTCAGAGGGTGACTGCAGCCAATAGACCAAGACTCCCCATGTTATCCACACATTGTCAAATTTTACAACAGAGGTGCTAAGTTAACATGCTTGTGGATAATTAACATGGTTAAGAGAATGGTTTTACTAAAAGCTTTAGGTTCTAGGGCCAGAGTAAACACTACTAATCGGTAATTCCCCTTTGATCTTCCCGTGAGAGGGTCCCCAGCACAAAATCTACAGGAGTAAACAGTGGAGACAAAGGGATGTGGGGAAAACAGACTTAAGCCGGGAATGCTTTTGTGTCTCTCCTTCCTATGCTGATGTAAATGAGGCACCTGCCCTCAGGTTGCGCCAGTAAAACCTTTTGGCCTTCCAAAAGATTTGAGAAGGTTTGAGATTACAGTCTATAACTTTTCCTAATATTTAGTATTTTGCCAGCCACCCCAAGTGAATATTAACACATCAGTCCCGGCAAGAGTAGGTTTTCCTGTTTTTAAAGTGATGCCAAGGCTTCCACACCGTAAGTAATGAGCTAGGACTTGAACCCAAAGCTCTCTGACTCCCAAATCCTCCTTTTTTTCAATTATCTTTCTTGTCTAATTATTTATTACATGACTTACGTTCCTTCACCCTCATCTTCTTGTCCCTTTGTGTTTTCTGTCTCAGTTGGTGACGCCACCGCTTATCCAGTATAGAAACTGCGGAGTCACCCAGACATCCTTCTCCTTCCTCACCCTTTATATGCATTCACAGGCTCTCTCCGTGTGACTCATTTTATGCGTATGCAGCTGCCCTTCTTCTGTCTTCCTTGAGCCACCATTCTGCGGCAGGTCCTTGTCTGGCATCTCATGTAGGAGCCTCTTGATGGATCTGTGAGCCAGAAATCTGGCTCTCCTCAAATCCGTTCTCCACACACACAGATACCGAG